GCCAAGGAATCGAAGATAAGGTGGGCCGGACACGTCATGCGATTTTGCGATGACCGTTGGACCAGAGCGGTTACCGACTGGATCCCTCGGGACGTCAAACGAACACCTGGACGACCGCCGGCCCGATGGTCAGACTTCTTCACGAAAGCTCTGAACGAAAGGAATGAAGGACTTCGTGTCCCTCGAGCGAGGAGGGTCCACTGGACAACTCTTGCACGCGACAGGGACGACGTTGCTGGCGCCCGCTCGAGCAATTCGATGATCAACGGGACGACAGGTGATACAGGTGACAGGTTTGCTAGCACTGAGATATCACGAAAATTACTCCCGTCCTTAAGTTTTGCACACCAGTGTAATGAGGGCTGATCATATGAAGCATGTGTACCTCAACCTTTCCAGAAATATCCTTTCTAAAGCAAATTCATCCAGGTTAAGGCATTAGTACCTGCGTGCGATGTTCTTTTACAATTTCTATTGATTACGATGAACCATTCTCTTTCTCCCTCAGCAAAATCAAAAACTCATAAACTTTTGTAAGAGATTGGAGGAAAATAGTATGATAGCAAAAAAGTTAATTTGTTTCGACGTTTACATATACCCTAGCTCTACTTCAATTTTGATTGACTTTTGCTAGTTTTGGGTGACAATGGAAGTGTGTGGCGTTGTAATGTCCAAGTTCGCCTTTCTTGAAACCTTGGCATGTCCAGATAATTGAAAGTTTTTCTGTGCCAAACAGGTTTTTTATAGTGAAGCGTTTATTGCCGACGTTTCGACTAGCTCGTCGTCTTCAAGGCCTGAAGGAAGCATTTCGAAGATTCTCAAATGAAACTTATCCTACTTAACGCTCACTCACTCCTAACTAGTAGCAACTCGAGCAAAAGGTGCAATCCGAGTTGAATCCAACATTGGTCACTCACCTTGGCTTCACCACCACCCTTAGCCTCTCCGCGCCAGAATATAGTAAGAAATGAGACTGACCGATCACTGCACTCCCACCATGGTGCGTACGTGCAGGTTGTCACGTTCATTTAATCAGAGCTCACATAGTGGAATGTATGGCAAGAAATCATCGGTTATGGAGATGCATTCATTCCTGTTATTCATATATGGATTACGAAGTTTTATCCAGAAAGCTTCGAGAGTTTTCCTAGCACCGATGTCATTTTCGTAGGCCAATATCGTACATTTGACGTCGAAATCGGAGCCATCATGACTTTCCCTTTTGTGTTTACCGAGCGGTGTAGCCAAGTTTTCTCTCCGTTTGCCGGCAAGATGTTCTTTCACACGCACGCCTAATTGCCTTCCAGTTTCTCCAATATATAAGGCACTACAAGTTAGGCACTGAAGCTGATAAACCACAGATCTCTGTGCACAGTCTCCGACTTTCCCATATGGGCAGATTACGCAATTTTCTACGACGCAGGTTCGGTCGTAGAGGCGATTTCTGACTAGCTGGTGTTTGATGTTCTCTCTTGGTGTATTAACCAAAAAGACTACATTAGTCAGATCGGCTCTCCTGATGCATTGCTGTATAACTGCACTAAAATGATCTGATATAAATGGTAACTGAAGATACAGTCTGTCTTCAGCTCTGCGTGGGAGAAGTCTTGGTCTGCTTCGTCGTTCACGTTGCCGCGCTGTGTATCCGTTAAGATTAGCTATTTGATGTGCTAGTCCTCTGGATAGTTCCCGCTCCTCGTGCCGGTGCATACCTCCACAGCAGTTTTGTACATGTTACGTAGTACTGCACGTTTAACGGCTCTGGGGTGTGCCGACAGTGCGTGAATGATGATATTTTTGGAGCTCTCCTTTCTATACCATTTCACATTGTACATTCCATTGGATACTCGTATCTGAGTATTCAGATAAGGTAGCCAGCCTTCTCGTGGGACCTCCCGTGTCAGCTTGATGTACTGCGATTGACTGTTAAGTATGTTAAACAACTCATCCATTTCTGATTGAGTTGATGTAATAACACAGCAGTCATCGATGTATCGGCAGTACATGATGGGTTGTGCTAGCACCGGACGTTCAATTCTACTCATGAAACAAACAGCGAGAACTGGTGCTAGCCTTTGTCCCATTGCAAGCCCTCTGATTTGCGTGAAATATCTTCCAGACCACTTAAAAATGTTGCAGTTCAGACATTCTTTGATTAGAATCATTATTTGCGCTTTGTCCAATCCGAACGTCATCATACTTCTTTCGTGTTCGTCGAGCATTTCTGAAACTGCTTGCAAGGCTTCGTCGTTGCTGACGTTGGTGTAAAGAGCAGTAACGTCGAACGATTCAACAACGCAGTCCTGCTGAAGTCTGCAAGTATCTAATGGGATGTACAATGTGAAATGGTATAGAAAGGAGAGCTCCAAAAATATCATCATTCACGCAATGTCGGCACACCCCAGAGCCGTTAAACGTGCGGTACTACGTAACATGTACAAAACTGCTATGGAGGTATGCACCGAGGAGGGAACTATCCAGAGGACTAGCACATCAAATAGCTAATCTTAACGGATACACAGCGCGGCAACGTGAACGACGAAGCAGACCAAGACTTCTCCCACGCAGAGCTGAAGACAGACTGTATCTTCAGTTACCATTTATATCAGATCATTTTAGTGCAGTTATACAGCAATGCATCAGGAGAGCCGATCTGACTAATGTAGTCTTTTTGGTTAATACACCAAGAGAGAACATCAAACACCAGCTAGTCAGAAATCGCCTCTACGACCGAACCTGCGTCGTAGAAAATTGCGTAATCTGCCCATATGGGAAAGTCGGAGACTGTGCACAGAGATCTGTGGTTTATCAGCTTCAGTGCCTAACTTGTAGTGCCTTATATATTGGAGAAACTGGAAGGCAATTAGGCGTGCGTGTGAAAGAACATCTTGCCGGCAAACGGAGAGAAAACTTGGCTACACCGCTCGGTAAACACAAAAGGGAAAGTCATGATGGCTCCGATTTCGACGTCAAATGTACGATATTGGCCTACGAAAATGACATCGGTGCTAGGAAAACTCTCGAAGCTTTCTGGATAAAACTTCGTAATCCATATATGAATAACAGGAATGAATGCATCTCCATAACCGATGATTTCTTGCCATACATTCCACTATGTGAGCTCTGATTAAATGAACGTGACAACCTGCACGTACGCACCATGGGAGTGCAGTGATCGGTCAGTCTCATTTCTTACTATATTCTGGCGCGGAGAGGCTAAGGGTGGTGGTGAAGCCAAGGTGAGTGACCAATGTTGGATTCAACTCGGATTGCACCTTTTGCTCGAGTTGCTACTAGTTAGGAGTGAGTGAGCGTTAAGTAGGATAAGTTTCATTTGAGAATCTTCGAAATGCTTCCTTCAGGCCTTGAAGACGACGAGCTAGTCGAAACGTCGGCAATAAACGCTTCACTATAAAAAACCTGTTTGGCACAGAAAAACTTTCAATTGTGTGGCGTTGGTTTCCCATCAGGGTGAAAATCGTGTCGAGGAAATAACCGCCTCTTTACGACCCCCCTCCAAAACATGGACTCTGATACGACCCCTTTTTGTCCTCTGCACATCCGGTTTCATATCAAAAAATGCTAGTTTCAGATGTGCGAGAGGGACGCAGCGCCGCTGCCACGCAAATGCGGCTTGATCCAAATGCTAGATTCAATTCTGCTCAGATTAGGTTCTCCTTTAAAGACATTTAACCTTTGCCACATTGGCCGGAAAGTAGAACATTGAAGGAGGTACTGCCCCTACACAGTTGAACAGTCTCGCGCTCCAGTATAGCGGCGCTAACTACCCGCGATCGCGTCGCGCTGTGCCTAGAGCGCGCTAGTTGGAAAAATCGTCAAATGTACCCCCTATTTCAAAGGACTATAACTTTCTTCATTGATAACCATTTCAGAAAGTGAAGGCAGCTTTTGAATGCACAAGACTTCTAGTTTCTAAATTGTGCTGAGCGTTTTTCTAAGCACGCCTATTCTCGAGAGTGGGAGACGTCGAGGAATTGTCGAGGAAATTGAAATTTACATGCGAGTTCCCACTCTTTGGAAGACAGTAGCTGTCTTCATTGGCAATGCTTTGAAAATCGGAGGAAAGCGTTGTAAAGTAGAAGATTTACGCTTTCTGATAGGTGCTCCAGTTGTTTCGAACGCTTTCTAGTTCGCGAGAAATCTGCGTCGAGGAAATGTCAAGGAAATTTTCGAAGCCACTCGAAAACTCTATTCCTCCCTCGCCGTAGTAGGGAACTTCTTTGAAGGTGAACGTGTTTTGTCCTAATGACGACTTGCTTAAGCACACCAAAAGATATTTCCAGTATTAACTAATTAGGATAACTCTTGTGGTCATAGTGATGTCTGATCATTCCTTTATTCAAATCGCTTCCTTTCCAACCCGTTCTGATGAATGACACGCTTGCGGTTGCAGGATCTGATGATGCCAAGAAGGCTGCGAATCTGCCTGTTTGAACTTTCTACCAAGATGCTGTTCCTCCACTAAGTTCTCGAAGCATGTACATCATTCTAGAGTAGATACTCGCTGCCCTTTCCCTACGATTCTTTTGCAGGGCCTTCCTATGCCACTACGAACCAAACCAACAACCACTTTCCATTTAAATTTTAATTCCAGACAGTTGTAAGATATTATTTGCATTAGGCTAACTACAACACTTGTGAAACTAATGATGACAGCAAATAAGTGGCAGCAGCACCGTTGTGTCCGTTGATGAACCTTTTGATTACGACCCCCTCCCAACTCTCATCGGAGCAAATACGACCCCCTGTCGAGGATTTCCTCGACCGTTATTCACCCTGTTTCCCATTCATACCATCGTAGACTACTGGAAGATGGACGAAGGCGGTGGAGGAGGAGGTGGAACGTATTGACGAGATTTTCCGTAACACGGGCCCTACTACTTAACACGTATATCCTGGTGGTCACTATACAAAGCTCGCATCTGTCACAATTTTCGATGAAATTCGTACTTATGTGATTGTAGTTGCTATAATTTTAGTGGTCATGGTACTATACCTTTTGGTGATAAGCTATCGGCTAGTGTGTCCGGTGTGAAAGTGCAGTATAGTCGACTTTTTCTTGTGGAGCCGTACAAGTCGAAGTACGTTTTTTTTCTTACAATTTGCTTCTCTCACATACTGTTTATTCTAAGGTATGTGCCCAAAATAGGAGATATCGTAGTTGGCCGTATCGCAAGCGTTCAGAGAGCTCGGTGGAAGGTAAGTCATCCCGTTACTTCAGTCATTTCTTGGTTGTGTTATATATATAGATTCAGGTGGATGTAAACTATAGAATGACTGTAATTCTGCATCTAAATGATGTCAATATTCCTGGTGGAGAGCTACGACGTGAAGGTCTAGAGGTAGTGTTTCCATATTTTTCAATTATGCAATGGCTTTGTTTATTACCTTTATACCCTTCTAATCAAGGATAAAGTTTCTATGACGAAACACATGGTGGTAGGAGACGTGGTGAGCGCAGAGGTCCAACAGATAAGAATGCGCGGGCAATTACAGCTTCATACGAGGAAATTTGAAATACGGGAAGCTCAGTCGCGGATTGTTGGTCAAGGTAAACGTTATAATTCTTTATTTGCTTCGGCGTTTCTATGCCTAATTTAAGATTTTGATAGGTCCCTTCGAGTTTGGTGAAGCCCCAAAAGGAATACATGCATGAGATATATGGCATCGGTGTCATAGTTGGATGTAATGGTATATTGTGGATATCCCCCGCCCTTATCGCCGATTCCGACGCCGACACGGTGGTATTAATATAGATATCACTTCAGTACATTTACTCTGAATCAAATGACCAAATGTCGTTTGCGGTCTCCTAGGAGCTCCCGCTGGACAAACGTTCAGCCTTGGTGAGGATTGCTGCTTGTGCGCGGCTTCTGGCCAGAAACCTCATTTCCATTTATGACGTTTCTATTATATCTGCCTATAGTGCGTCTTTGGTATATAAGGTAGGTTCGACAATATTTTCCTAAATTATACTCCCGTTCAGTGGTACTTTTTGTCTATGATTCAGCGAACATTCCTGGATCTTTTGTAATTTATTGCACTGAGCGTGTTTTCCTATGTAGTTCAAGATAGGTAACATTTTTTCGACCAGATCTGCAACTTGCCTGTTTAATTGGTGACATATTTTATTCCCTCGTGAGAACATGCATTCTAGCTCCCTTACCAATAATTGGTTCCATGCGATTTATTCGGTAATAGTATACACCTCTCCAAAGCCTTGATCTATCAACGAGCCCATCAGGATGGGTAGCCAGCACGCAGGCTCAAGAAAATGAGATATCGTTTCGTTTTGCAACGTTTTTTTACGCTGCTTATATTTCTTCTTGATCTACTTTAATGTCAAGTATGTTATAAGAAAATTGGTTGAGCATGTTCGCAATTTTCCCTATTTAGGTGAAGGAATTGGCACATCCTAAGATTTCATCATTACTGGTACCAAGAATAGTGGATATGATACAAGCGGAAGAGAAGCGACGCGCTTTGGAGAAAGATCGTTAGGAAGCTATCAGGAACCGGCCAGCTTTTTAGAGTTCTCTATAGAATTCAGAGTAGTATTAGGTTGTCTCATAAATAGTGTCGCTTTTTTTCAACCAAAAAATTTTCATCTAAATCCCCATGCTTTTACATCATGTCATACCATTCGAAAGAGAATTGTCTGCTCTACAAGATGTATGTTTCTTCCACCATGTTCCAGGGTTTTCAAATTTTAGGCCTGCGAAATGGGAGGTCCCGCCGACAAAAATTGACCAAACCGACAACTAGCTCTAACTTTATTTTCCCTGCGGAGAAATCAATCAATGATGTACCCTCTACTTACTCATGACCTCTTCTGAACATTCCACCCTTAGGTTGCCGAAAAAGGTTTGCCCTGTTTCTTTTTCGAATTGGCCGACCGATAAGCCATGGCAATTTTCAAATTGAAATTCTTCCTCTGAAACGCTATTGTTTTATATCAACTGGTGTATCTTTTGTGAGCACTTCTTCTGCTCTATTCGCTCATTTGTTTTGTTTTTAATGTTTGTTAGGAATTAGCTCGAATTTTAGGTGTTTAGGAGTAAGGTGCTTTATCCACGAAAGTGACCGCATTTCTTTGAAAAAATTATCCTTGAGAAGATGAGAAAATCAACCAGGCGTACATTCCCAACATTGTCATGACTTGTTCTTTAAATTCTACTAGTTTTTCAATGTCTCGGCCATAAAAAAATTTCGACCTAAATCTCAGGTAATGGTGCTCGACCGTCGAGTTCTGGTTGAAAAACCAGGTCTGGAAATGGAATGACGCGACTTGTTGGGAAACCTAATAGTGTAATGTTTAGAAGAGGTCATGCATAAGTAGAGGGTACATCATTGATTGATTTCTCCGAAGGGAAAATAAAGTTAGAGCTAGTTGTCGGTTTGGTCAATTTTTGTCGGCGGGACCTCCCATTTCGCAGGCCTAAAATTTGAAAACCCTGGAACAGTGTGGAAGTGAACACATCATCTTGTAGAGCAGACAATTCTCTTTCGAATGGTGTATGACATGTAAAAGCATGGGGATTTAGATGAAAATTTTTTGGTTGAAAAAAGCGACACTCTTTATGAGACAACCTAATACCATGCTGCTCTACACTGCGCATAGAGTATCAATCAAATAGGGTATCAACCAGGTAAGTTTGGGAGCAGAATTTTGTGAAGAAGTAATCCCCATGTTAGTACTCACTGATCACTTTTCTTTGGCTTTACTCGTATATTCCTTGTCAACTGTACTTTACTGAGTGCCGCAATGCACATAGTTGCTATGACGGAGAGAATGTAGCGAATAGAACTTCTTTCATATTTATTGTATTTTTGCATAGCCACTGCCGAATTTGCAAGGCTTTGGTTCAGAAGTCTGTGATTTTTTGCAAAACTAGAGAGACGTCATGTTGGAGCTTGACCCGTTGTGTTTCTCAAGAGGGCCAGCGCGGGGGAGGCTAGCGCGTAAAATTGCGCCAGATTCACGGAAACTTTCACTCTCGTCCCCCCCCCCCCCTGGGGGCACACTGGTCATCGCAATGACCGAAGCAATCCTGCTGGAAGGTTTGAGGCTGCCCGTTAGAAGGTTGTTTTCGCGACGACGCTCCAAAAGAATTTTGTTCGAGATCTTTGTATGCCCGAATAAGCTTGAGCCGAAATTTGCAGCGGAACAGGAAATACCCTTTCATAGATGGAGAAAAATAGTGAACGAAGGTAAGTAATAAAATTGAAACAGTGGTAACTAAACGATATGGGAACAACGCTATGTCACTCATCACTAAAAGTATAGTGAGAAAGTGAAGAGCTTGCTTCGAACGAGTTTTTAGCTTCGCAAAATTCGATTTTTGGCTGACACTGCTCATTCGTTGTAGGATTAACAAGGTCGTTTAGAGGTCGTTTAGAGTGTGGAGTGCTTTTAAAACGTTTTTTTGCATGATGTAGGGGCCCTGCCATGGACATGTGGTGTGTTCGTTTTCGCTGAACGGCCGCTGATGGCCAGAAATGGGTCGGAGATTTTGTTAAGAATGGCTGGTTTTTATAGCCTTGGAGCGACGTTTTGGACTTGTAGAAAAGGTCACCTCCACTCTGATGAAGATGATATCAAAATCAACTGGAATCGCTCAAAATTGACGTGCTGTCTGTGATAGTGCTGGAGAAAGTGTGGGCGTTTCACGAGCGTCGTCGGTGAGTGGATAACGCGGTGGACACGGGAGCAGTCACTTTGTGGTGCGAGTCCACCCCACGAGGTAGCTTTGCATTTTTGATTGTCACCTCCAAATCGGCGCCAAATTGCTTCAGCGTCAAAATTAACGCTATATTCACAATCAGGACATCAGTAGCCCCTGCAAATGGGTTTTCTATAAAAACTGGCGAAATAAATTCGCAACGACAACTGGCGCCAGATGGTGCCGACGCCAAAAACGAACGTTATATCCATGATCAAGATCTTGAATTCCTGAGGCGAACTTCAAGGGGAATCTAGATTTTGACTTAACTTTGAAAAAGGCTTGACCATAGGCTCGTCACGCACTCCTGCAGGCGACTTGATGACGAGTGCGCTGTGGAACTCAAGCAGAAATCCCTCGTGGTCTACGGAGAGTAATGTTCATCATCTCATCTCCCACGTCGTCGCGATCCATGAAATCTCGCCGGATAGGGAGTTGAAGCCTTGCGAGTAGAAAGGCATGGACCAAATACGTATTGGAAAGGGAAGGGAAGAATCTGCCAACCCCGAAATCATGCGCCTCCTGCTCTCCATCACCAGCTTGGATGTCTGCTGTTGCCCATTCGGTAGTGGAACTTTTCGTTTTTTGAGAAAAATGTCGAGAAAACTCATTTTCAGCCCGCCGGCTTAGATACCCAACGGACTTTTTTTCGGGTTTAGGTCAAAATCTGAATTTTCTCTAAAACTTCCAAGTCAAGGAAAATCGAGTGCTTGATCACGAATATGAAATCCTTTTTTCCGATAGCTCCCATTTGCGCCACTTCGGCACCACTTGGCGCTCTTCTGGCGCTTTTTTCGCTAGAATTCGGTAAAAATCTGTATGTAATGCAAGTGATGGTTCAAATAATGGATATGATACCCACTCTGATGCTATTTTCAGCAAACTTGGAGACTCCAACTAAAATGCAAAAATTTTGTCACCACTGAGGATTGAACCTTGGACCATTTGCTCACCACTTTTTGACCTTCAGCGAAAATGTCTCGGTGTTATGGTCTACGATTGAACTCCTACAACATGCAGAAACCATTTTGAAAAAGCGCTCCACATTGTGAACGGCTTCAATTGGAAGTTCCTTTATCACTTCAACGTTGATGGTGCCGTTTCCAAAGACGACGGGCCTTTTCGACAACGGTGATCGGGAGAGCAAGCAAGAGCCACTGCAGAGGACTGATTTCAAGG